ATTTAAATCTGTGTAAAACACCTACTTACTATAACCCGATTCATATTAGTATTTCTTGATTGGTTTTGTTACTATAATGACGACCCTCAGGGCAAGAGTAAAGACACGGTTTAACACACATAATATAATATTTATGTTCGAGTTTTCCCATTAGCTAAAAATAACACAACCACCGCCTCCAGTAATCTCAGGAGATCTCTCTCTAAAAAAACAATGATACGCATAAAACGTCTTTACTTTATTAAAAAGGTACAACATTTTATAATAATTGGTAGCACACAATTTTTCAGAACTGTCAAAATATTTTTTTACTTGATAAAATGTACAATTTGTAAAGTAAATACAATAAATACATTATGAATTTCTATAACAGCCTAAAGAAATCACCCAGCGATGGCACTTTTCAACAAGTTACAAGACTTAAGTAAGATGAGCTTATATTATCCTATAGAGTATAGTTTTTTTATGTTTGTAGAATAGTTGGTTTTGTTTTATATTCATTATCGTTTCATTTTTTCTATATTTCATATCAATTTAATAAAAAGATTTATACTGTGCCGTAGATGAGGTTCGGAAATCAAATTTTTACACAAGAAAATACAAATATCAGTCAGTGATAATTATAAAAATATAACATCTTTGGAATATTTTATAAATGTAAGTTACATGATTTTTGATAAGAAATTAGTGATAACCGATTGATATGATTTATTTTATATCAGTGTTTTTCAGTTTCAGTTTCTCAACGACTTTTTTGGTCAAAACTCGTACACTATATTAAGTTAAGAATAATTAATTAATACTTTTCCAACATATTTATACATTTATGTAGTTTAGTTCTGTGCACATTATATTATAAATAACTGATAAAGTATTCAAATGTATTGGTTAAATAGACAATTATAGACAACAGGGGTGTACCCTGTTATGGGATTTGTCATGTTGGGCGTACCTAACGGGACTGTCCCATTTTGAGACCGCTTTAAACAAAAATAAATACTTTTTATAGGTTATTAAAGTGGTTTACACTTTAAACGCCTTTTATGATTTACTTCATTGTTGAGTACAGCTAAGTTGCTGATGTTACAGCTTTATTTATTAATTTTCTATGGGAAGTTCCCAGAGTTGAGCTAGGGATCTGTAACTTTTGAGAGTTCTTATTCGAATAATCTACTAAAGGGTAGTAAAAAAAAATTGGCAAGAACAGTCTGGTGTGTAGCTATTATAAACAATGTGATTGCATTCGAGAAATCTTCTTTGGCCAGCTCACATGTTATTATTTTCTTTGTTCGCGAGCCACATAACAAATGGCAAGGCAACGACAATGTCTCTCCGTTTGGTTAAAATATCCGCCATTGTAAATGAATATAATAATATTTTCCCGTTAAACGCGCACCTTAGCGTGTGCTACCTATATTTCACATTGGCGTCCAAGTCTTAACACCTTACCTGTCGCGTAGGTACATATTTTGTGATATTATCTTGGCGCCGGTGTTTTTATCAATTGTTACGGTTCATCTTGTACATTGTATACCGCCGGGCTAACGGTGAAGTAATAATGGGTAAGTATACCGATTTATTAATGTAACCGAAAATGACTTGCGGTTAATAATATTGCGTTATCGCCTATACATTATACATCATCGTTCATCATTTACCGTCGAAGAAACACCTACTACGAATACAACTCGTCAAACGCATTATTATTACTTTTTTTTCATTCGTCGTTTGTTTTTACTAATCACATTTAATAGCGACGCCAATATTTTAGCGGTATAACGTCATTTTTGTTGATATGAAATGTTAAGTTTTCTAAACTGTGAAACCGGAGAATTACAACCATGCCAACCTAACCCGAAAATGAACTGCCCTGCTAGCAAAGAGGACAGTGATAATGAATAATGAAAAAACTTAAATGAAAAATTATCTACATCGGGTTACAATATAATATGTATTTGTTTGCTATGAACACGTCAATTAATATCAAACGCTTTATAGGAATTACGGTATTAAAGTAATTACTTTTACCTTTAGTTTTATATCATCTCAAAAAGGTTGGTAACATCCATTTATGTTATCAATGCAATATTGGTGGTTATAATATCAGGGCTCCCCTGTTACCACTCCCTACACGGAGAAGCGTAGCCATTTTTTCCAATATGGCATCCACTGGCGTGATGTTTTACACAAATAAAAAAAACGTGTCAGCTGATCAATGCACGCCGGTGGCCGCCATATTGGAAAAAACGGCTCCACAAATAACGGAGATTTTCTGCTTATAAATAAAAATATATTGTCTATTTATTCCTACACTTGATTTTTCTTATTCTGAAAAATTAGTTTCTTATGCTTCTTGCTTTACAGCCACGTGCTATGCAATTATCAGTTCTCTTCAACACCTTTTTTCCTTTAACTCGGACAATTGTCTTATTATTTCCGACTCCCAGCCAGGCCTCCAGGCCTTGCCCTTCAACCCTTTTAATTCCTCGCTCTCTCCTCTTCTCATTAAATCTCTAATCTATAGCCTTTTCCTTAATAATAAAAAAGACCAACTCCTGTGGGTGCCCGGACATTCGGTAATGAAGTGGCAGATAAGTTAACTTACTCAACCAGTCTCTACACCTATCCCTCTTATTTCCGAATTCCCCCATCTGAGCTCTTCCATTTTTTTCCTGGTAATCCAAATGGCATTGTCTTCCTCATAATTATGATTCCTTGTTGTTTCTTTTACTAGACTTCGTCTTGGTCATAACCTCCTTCCCGCTCATGCCTTCCATCTCTCCCTAAACGCATCTACCCTTTTGTACCCTCCTCCTTAACGAAGCTCCTTGTAAGTTTAACCATATTCTCCTTGACTGTCCTACTCTATACTCCAACAGAAAACATTTACTTTCCCATCTCAGTTCTCTCGGCTATATCTCCCTGGATATACCCCCGTTATCGCCCTCCTAATGTCCTTTCTTCCAAAGCTGGATTTTTTTATTTAATTGTTAGATTCATAATTGTCGTGCTGCAATATTGTTCAAATAATAGCACATATATCGTCGTATAGACATGATTGAAACGATACTGCGGACGCGAACGTGCTTTTACACCTCTGATTACATATTATCTACATACATTATACACTAATGGTTCCATGATGTTTTTAATGTTTGCAGGATCATTTGGATCAGTAAACGTTCGCTCGAACCGCTACGAATGATAAAATCGCCATTGTTAAGTACAATGAGCACTTTGTGCGTCCAATGAAAACGAAACCTAACAATTCTTATCAATTGTTTTTCTCTCAACAACAAAAACATTTGTATCCTTATCGGCTATCCTTGACAGTTTAGTACATTTCATCTTGACGGTACGTTAGTTGTAGAAAGATAATATTCTTAAAACCTTAATAATAATTACCCATGTTAACTGGATATAATTTAAAGTAATCAAAGGAAAACCGTATCAGATGAAAATTAACCCTTTAGCTTGTGTGAACATGACAAATAACTTAAAATAAGATAAACAAGTTATTTACTCATATAAATTGTAATCAACTACCGGAAGTATATTTATTTAAAATGGGACATTTTAATAAAAAATAGTGCCATTGCCAGCATTTCATAACTACTATGAAATGCTCTTGAAAAATTCTATAATAGACTTTATTTTATTATTGACAAGCATTACAACAAGCACACATTGTGTGGTAATTAGAAGAGAATCAACAATTGCTAAGAACGCGTTTCAAAACTTGTTTTAAGGTTTTGTAAAAAATCGATTTGGAAATTGATAACCAAAAGGTAAAAAAATACAAAAACCTTAACCTTCTCAAATCTTTTATTTGTGATTACAGACACTTTTTGTGTACAAAGATTGAACAGACTAAATGGACAGATCAAAAATGATAAAACGAATACACTTTCTTGGCGGTGAAATAAAATTAGTGAAAGTAAAACTAAGATATTATTACAGTTGTGTGTAAACAATTTATTCAATTGGAAATTGTATGCTTTTACTTACTTGCGGTACGTTAATGTGCACACGACGGTAAATTAAACAGCTATTTAATAGTATTATATTTTGTGTTATATTAATTCTGGTCCAATAGCGTTAAACAGTAATAAATATTCATGGATTGTATTGCCCATGTTTTCGTGTGAAACCGATTTTATCAGACATACATTTTACTCTCATAATGTGATTTTCGGTGTAAGCTTTTATGCGAAGCCTTTGTAATTTTACTAACCGAGTTGAAATTGATCTTGGGGAAAAATGTGAGTAAAAAAAATGAACAAATCATTTAAAAGAAAAATATGATCTTATAAAGTGTGGCTATAAGAAAAAATGTCTTAATTAAACTAAAATCATTGGAGGGGGGGGGGGCGTTTTGTCACTGGAGATGTATAAATAATTTTGGGGAAACAAATGTGCTGGAAAATAACACAACAATTAGCTATCAAAAAATAACTCTTGTACTAGAAATTCTTAAGAAAATTTACTACAGGGAACCCTATGCGTTTAGAATAAAATCACCTATTATAAAAATCAAAAGGGGATGACTTTTTGGCGGGAATTTGAACTATTCTTAAACAAAAAAAAAATGAATTTTTCAACACTTCATATTTAGAAAAATACCGAATAAACCTACTAAAAAAAACTGATATGCCAATTTTTTCCAAAAAGTTTATAATCTTTTCATTTTGGATTGGTAGTTTTTACTCTATAAAAACCACGGAGAACCGTGTTAAATCACTAACCTACATAGCTAGATTTTTAGTAAAAAAAAAAATATGAATAAATATAATTAAAGGGGCAATGGCCGCTGTGATGTTGTGATAAAAAACTAAAGTGGCAATAAACAATTTTTTTTACTGTAATTATAAACGTACACAACGGGTTTGTGTACGTAGTGACGTCCGACCTTATTACAGTGTTTTCATACAAAACAACTAAGCACACTATATAAATCTTGTCTCCATCGCACCTTGTAAAATACTTGTACGCATTAAACGGTTTTCGAGAAAATTATTCACTTACACTAGCAAGTCCACCCATACGAGTATGGAAGTAATTAGACTATTTTTTTTTAAATTAGGGAAGAGATGAACTTTTTTTAATTTTTGGCCTCACAAGGTACCTTCCTGGTTCTGATCTATAGACTTGGTCAATTAAGAAATCAGATTGTTTCTAAATGTTTCATGTATCTCATGTTTTCCACCCTTATTGATTGACTTCGTTTAAAAGTATTACAAACACTAGGATTTCTAATTAAATATACTTCATCTTTTAATACTCTTTTCTGTTGTTCAAGTTCAAAATTATCCGTTCTCCTACTTCTAGAACCCGTTTCCTTCCACATACCTAAGTACAATTTTTTGTTTCCGGTATCAAAACCCACCGAAGAAATCATGTTCAAAATTGATTCCCTTGAGAGCATGTAATTGAGACACTTATTAGAACAAGGGACCAATTCGGCTTTTTTTTTTTTCCAAAATGCGTTTTTTCTTATTAAAATTTCTTTTATTTGTTATTGATAGGATAACATAATTTTATTTTACTAGAAAAAGGGCCTAATAAAACATGTTATATTCTAAACCAAAGTACAACTGTAATTTTAAAAAGTCAAACAAAGTAAAATATTGTAATAACTACTTTTAAGTGTTTCAGTACTCTCAAAGTTAATATTGATTTTTATAAGACTATTTTTGTTTTAAGCATGTTAATATAATATAACATTTTCAATTAAACATTTATTATAAATATTAAAATTAGATTATTCAATATGTATTCAAAAATAATTAATGTAACAAAAATATGAATATATTATTACTAATAGAATATTCATATCAACAGTTATTTAAAAAAAAATAGTAAAGATTATTCTTCTACGAATATTCTTTTAGAGACAATATTTTATTATAAGTATATTGTTGTCATTAGAAAATATTATCTTCAGCGATTATCCAAGTAATAATAATATCTTATTAAAACTAATATAATTAGAATACATAAAATTGAAGAAAGGTGTTACTTGTTCGAAAAAGTGTTTTTTTTTTAAATTAAACAAATGTATACATTTTCAGTTTTCGATTAGAACAACTAACCCAATTTTACAACTTCCTTAGGCTTAATTGAAATTAAAAAATTAATATTTTTATAAATTTTATTAAACCCATTAAAAGTGGTAATAAATTAGGCAAAATTATAAAGTTTTTAAATAGTTTTTTGTGTCTCCTGGGAAAAACGAAAATTCGAAATTGGGCCCATATCCTAATGAGCGTCTTGATTATTATATATTATTATTTGAATTTTGTTTTGTACAGGAAACTCTCACGTGTAGCCGTCGGACTTGGTGCGGATCGACTCGGGTCGGCGCAAAGGTTTAACGTGGACGCGCCACCATCGTTGTAAAAACTGCACACTTGTTGTCGGGCATGTCATCATTTGGATAACTGAAGCCTAGGTCCAACCATGAAGTACATCAACTTTGCAATAGCATGCATAATCATGTTTGGCTTTTCTTCGACCGTCTTCTTGGATTGCCATCTTCAAGGTATTTATATCACTGTTAATATTACACCACCTCGTATACAAATAATTAACAATATCTATATAAATTATTAGACTAGCTGGTAATGTAAAAAAATATAAAGTTTTTATTTATAATACTTTATTCGAGTGAGTGAAAAAAAAAACATTTTTTTTTTGTTAAAATCCTATTTAAAATAACTTTTAAAAATTATTTGAAATTTAACAAAGTGACAGAGGGGAAATATTATACTAGGTACACGTACAGGGTGATTATTATTTGAGTATATTTTTGGGGCTCAATTAACTTTTGAATCCAAAATGGTCTATTTAATAATATAAACTTATTCGATTATGAACAAGTTGCTGAAAACGTTAACTGGTCGATACTAGTTTTGGAAAATTACTCCTAAAAAATCTCAGTTGAGAATAATTTTTGTGGAACATTTTAGCCGTACTAGTTTTTGATAATCTTTTTTAAAAATGTCGACAAGAGGTGGAGTGCGGTAGAGTAAAAATAATTCTTCACCTCCACCATTTTCCTGTCCTTAATCTTAAACTCAAATAACTTCATAGGTAATTATTATTCAAAAATATATAAAACATGTGATATGGTAAATTAGCTTTTTTATTTTTTGACAATTTTTTTATGAACAAAAAAAAATATTTTATGCATTGATTCAATTTACATTTACCCCGTTCGTTTGAAATTTCCCCACCTTATAGTGAACCTAATATTATTATTAAATTATTATTAGTATTATTGTTAGTTGGACGACTACTTTTTTATAAACTAAATAAAACCAAAAAAAAATTGAAATTGAAATCCAAGTATTCCAAAGTATATAAGTTAAAAGCACTGAAAGCATCTCGTGTAGGTAAATTTAATACACCTGGATTATGTAAAATCTGTCCCAGAATGATGTAAGATAATTCAGCTTACAGGGGAATGAATTTAGATTATAAACAACCATAGATTTTTACACAGAAGTTGGTATTTTCAGGTATTTTAATATCTGTTTTGTTAGGTGTAAATTAATTACAATAATACACAATGCCCATACTATCCAATAATGCCTACACTATTTGAAATAGGGCTACAAAGGGTTTGTACCCTCATTAGTGGAACATTAGTTAAATCTTTTCTAAATACAAATTAATTTACTTAAAACGATTTTCCGAAGGGTAGTCGAAGTGATCAGTTCTCTACTTTGCAAAAATGGTAAATATATAGCATTTGTTAGATATTTTGTTTACCCTATTATGTCGAGGGTTTTTTTTTTAAAGGGGTGGGGAATATTTTTTTAGTAAACAAATATATAAATATTTTTGCGTTTAAGAAAAAAAAACTGGAATTTTTTACAAAATTTAAATAGGTCTTAAGTGTTTTAAGTGGCTTTTTGTTCTAGAACGGTAATAATATTATTTGTTTAAAGGGGAAATTATTCTCCAAAGTCAGCGTCAGCCGGTATGAACACAAAACCAAATATTTTTTTATTTTTTTTAAGAAATTTTGGCTATATTTCGGTCTTTGTTAAGTTCTCGGATTTCTATTTTTTTTTCTGATACCTTCATAAAACTTTTAATTATCGTCACGAGTTTAGCACGATATTGTTAATAAATTACTTAATATAGCTATAGGTACTTCAAAGGAGTTTTATTTTTAATTGTTAAACAGAAACGGATATATATATATATATATATCCGTTTCTGTTATTAAAGGATGGTGTTATTTTCTCCATAACTCGAATAGCATTAAAAAACAATTATTATTATTTAAAAGTCAACATTTTCGGTATATTATTCGTAATTAAATATATAAGTTTCAATACTGTTAAGATAAAGCTCTAGGAAGTAGTAAAAAAAAAAAACGTGACAAATAGAAATATTTCCAAAAAGAAACATCATTGTAAAATTGCAATTATTCTATGTAGAGTAAAATAGTAGTGTAGGGCGTTAAAATATTAGTCAGGCATTTCAAGTGATAGTTAAACCTAATTGTTGTTGTAATTGAATTGTGTGTTTTGTTCGGTTTCTAAAAGATAATTGTTACTCATTTAATTGTATTGTCGTGATGGAAACGCGCTGTTTGAATACAAAGATTATTATCATTATTACTATTGAAGATGTCCGGATGTCATCTTATACATGTTGGACTTGGACCGCGACTCGTGTCTGTGTAAAACGAATCTTGAGGTTTTGGCAGATTTAAACACTTGAGAAATTATGCGATACACATTTATAAGACACGGTCGTCGTTTACAGAAACATATTTTGGTAACCGTTTGGGTAATTTCCATAATTATCGTGTTCGCCTTGCCTCGCCTGCCACAGCCGGTGTGCGCTTTTCGGTAAAATATTGAACAGGATTAATTATTTAAAATGAGATATCTCAAACAAGACGGAGTACCTACGTGTGTAATAAGAGGTAATAATAATAATAATAATGTATTAAATATATACATATAACACCCGATTGTCCCGCGAGGATAAACTTAACGGTTTATATGTGTAATTATTATTAGTCCAAAACGATAACCATAATATCTATATACAAATTGGTTTATTCGCAACAACAGCTGCTTGTTTTTAAAAATAAATACTATATTATTTTTCGATGCTTGAACAATTTTCACTTTAATCCCTTTTAAGTATGCGCCTCGTTTTTTTCAAACGGGAACAAAACACGTTTTTAATTCCGCATAAATAGGTGGACAAACAATTTTAAAAAAATTAATGTTGGCGATTGAATTTTTTTTTTGTAATTTTCACCAGTCTGATCAGTTTGCCATGACTTTGTAATGAGATAAGCATACAAAAAGTCCAAAGAATAAAAAAAAAAAAAACAAGCGTCTCAAATCAGATGGATCATACTGTTTTTTTTATTTTATATTATTTCTATTCATTATTTTTCACTTAGATATTTGTCAATCGATGATGGACATTTTAAACAGTAAGAAAAAGTAGACTCTATACTAATTTGGACTTACTTTACTTAATTATATCTAAACTAAGAAGTATCTGTGAAAGGGGGAAAAGGTTAGGTTAGGTTAACTTAACCGAAACCCTTTGTGTGCACCACTGTTTTATGCCTTGTTTCACATCCATATTTATTACTCCAAAAAATAAAATCAAGTGTTCAAACCAATGAACATATTTAGATTAAAAAAAAATCCTAGTACAAGTCAACAGGCATACAATAAAACAGCTCAAAAGATATATAACTAAGCTTAAAACATTTTAACGTTAACTCTCACATACCACAGACAACTGTGTGATTACTTATGTTTATACACTGCAACCCGATAAAAAAAAACCAACAGTCGTTAAGTTCCCTAACCTAACCGTTGGACCCTTTTACATATTGTATAACCTTACTATACAACGTATTACCTACAACCCTATTGGGTAATTGAGTTTTAAAAACTATTAGAAAACAATAAAGTAATATCTAAGTAATCGTCCTGAGGTCTTCCTTGTTTCTATCAGGCCACCGTTGTACCCCTTTAGCTCTCCAAACATGACCGGCCCATCTTATTCTACTGCTCTTCATGTACCTTATAATATTAGCTTCTCCAAATAATCTTCAAATTCACCTTTTTTTAAAGTATTTTCCTTTCAAAAAAACGCCCAATTTGTTCTCATCCGTTTTAGTGGTTGCCCACGTGTCACACGCGTATAAAAATGCTATGGGTCTAATAACATCTTTGTACAATGTTATCTTTGATCTTCTTGAAAGTAATTTTTCATTTGTACACTGCTGATAGTCCAAAATAGCATCCGTTTGCTGTTATCAATCTCACCCACGCTCCAAAGTATTTGAAATGTTCTACCCTTTCGAATGAAAAACCTTCTGTTTCTAATTTGCTTGCTATGTGATGTTTTTTCTGGATAGTATTAGGTATTTTGTTTTCTCTCCGTTTATGTTTTTCTGTAAAAAGACATTTTGTTTATTATTATGAAAAATACTTTTAGTAATTCCGGTTTATATCTACACGTATCAAACAGAATTCCCAAAAGGTATTTTTCAAGTTCAATGCCAACTTTTAGTACACATTGAGATGCGCGTCTGGCGGGTGTTTAGAAATCAAAGTAGAAAAGTTTATCCAAATGAGTTTAATGTGGACAAATTAGATGGTTTCCTTCAAATTAGGTTCAACAAAACTTTCCGAATCTAAAAACTACCGCCGAACTGTTCCTGATGGCCGACGTCCCTTTACATTCTGTTTGCACTATTATTATATCCAATTTTGGCTGACAAATAAGAAGTCATTTTCCAATGGAGAAACTTTAACCACCTTTGGCAACCGAATGAAAGACAAAATCCCTTTTGAAATTATTCAAAAATAAAACAATTTTTTAAAACGGTTCGTACCTACAATTTACACAAAGCAATTCGTTTTATAAACCGCTCTATCATTGTTATCAACAAGCATGTCGTGATATGTTATGCACATCATTATTACCGTTATTATAATGTTATCAATTCTCAAAATGATTGATCGTTATTTCATACTTAAGCCGCAAAACGTAGGTGTAACATTCTCGCACATAAAGCCGTCGACGTTAACAGCTAGTCTATACATATATACATACTACATACACATTGCGTTGTAATTGTTTTATAATACCAGATGTAAAAATATATGTACATAATAATATACATGTACAATACACAGTAGAGCAGTCAAGTGGTATTTAAAAAAAACCATATATATAACGGTTTCAATTAAGTAGTCATTAGCCGGGTTTTGTGTGGATTACATTTCATAACATGTTTTACATGGCAAGCTTAAAATATATTATATTTATGTGTGTACTGTGTTTGTATTTCTGTTGAATATTCAATTAAAATGTTTAGGCTTTGTTCAATTTGAGTGATTTCGATTAGTTGATCCAGCGGTGGTTACCCGTTGGCATAATATTATACGTGTTTGCGATTTTTGTTGATAATATATTTTAATGTTTTTGTATAAAGTTAATATAGGGTGACCAGGAAGCAAGTGTGATTTTGTAATTACCCGC